AAAAAAAAAAAAAAAAAAAAAAAAAAAAAAATATCTTAATTATTTAAGTGCCCTATAAGATTATCCCAAAATATCTTAAAGCAAAAAACATGCAAATATACTTTTATAAGTTTTATTAGCAGCTGCTGCTCCTACACAGGCAATAGCTACAAAAATGAGGTCAGAATTCAATTAGACACGGGTAAGGGTAGGGGACTGCTGTCAGCTGCTGCCGTGCCGTGACAGTCGGTAGGATTATTAAGCAAATCCCAATCAACCTCGCGAAGCATTTTGATTCTCTCGTCCAATGTCACTAAACCAGATTGAGGTGCTATCACTCCACATTTTCCAGCTTCATAGATGAGAAGCAAAGCCGACCCCATTTCAGGACCATGAAGCATTCCTGTCAGCAAAACTCGAAGGGGCATGAACAGAGATTTTCCCTGGATTGGATGCACATTTTGACCCATAAGTAACGGCATATACATATACAAATATTTAACCAGACTACAAAATATATAACGATATTATTAACTTTTAACTAACCTTGCGTTTCGTAGATTTACCAAAACTCTTAACCCATTTCTGCCATCCACCAATACCTTCTTCAAGGGCACTAACAAACTCCCCACTATCATATGCAGCTAACAAACTCGCAGCAACTTCCGACAGTTTATCTTCTATTACAGTTTTACTTTCAGGACTGCAGTCAATCACCACCATTGATTGTCACATATTGATTTATCAGTAACGGCAAGCTAAATCGAAAGCAAAGATTCACTTTGTTATTTTTGTTTTTATAAAGATGCATGTTTTATCAGTTCTCGCGCGAACTTGAGCCGACTAAATAGGCATATACTAGTCTAATCAGACTGCCTTCAAGCTGTGTGTGCATTGCACAGTGAGTCGGTTCGGTATTTTTTGAGAATAGGCGCAAGTAATTTCAGTGCTTCACGTGGCTTTCAACTCGTTTAATCTTTAAATTCATGCAAACATGCATGGATACAAGATTCTGTCCTGAGGCGCATAAAATTGTTTACAAACCCTAGGCCTACCTTCGAGAGCAGATAAATATCTAGCCTTCTGCATTATCCCCTAACATCACATCACCATGAAACTTATTCTAAAACCCCAAACGTCTTGCAATAAATTAGAACAGCGTAATTTTGTCCCCTACAAGTTTAGAGATATCCCGAATGAAAATGGACCACAACGAGAGAACCCAAGTCTTGAAATTACCTAGCAAGAGTTGAGTATAAAGGATAGGACAGTAGATTTGAAAGAAGTTTGTCAGCATCTGTTATCACGTCAATCCCATCCTTTAGCAGCTGAACAGCATTCTGATCAATACAACAACTATCAATATTAAGCCAAAGATATGCAAAAGAAAGCCATATAATTGGTTGAGTGGGATTATCGTCATTGTAAAAAAAGCCAGCTGCTCAACAAGATAAGAAATATTTCTAAACAAGCTCAACGTCGATAAAAAAATTTCATGCCGAAGAGCCTCCAAAAGTCACGATATAAAGGATCATCAAGATGGTTGTTACTAGACTAAAATAGCTGGCTTTTTTAAAGATCCTATAATTTGCAAGGAGAGAAATCAGATGAAAGAGACAGCTGTACTTCTACAAATGTCCCCCTTGATTCTGTGACAAAGCCAGTGCTTTTCCACCGCTCACCAATGAGCTTGTTTAGTTCTTCGGTTGGAAGAGATCTCAAATATTGACCATTCATCCACCTTACATTACCAAAAGTACACGTTAACAACAGAAGCAGTTCATTAAAACTAATTACCCTTTGCAGAGTAAGAACCAAAAATGGGATATCGACCACAAAGGTCGCAGCTAACAGAACGAGAAATTTCAAAAAAATTAAATAAATAAATATGCCTGAGCTCTTTGCATTAAATATGAAGTGTTACCTACATATCTTGTCCAGTTACCTTAACTTGGCAGAATCAAACACGGCTCCACCCTTATTAACGCGCTCAATAGTGAATTTATCAACTGCAAACCATGTGACAGTTTCCAAGTCATGAAACTGATGAAATCAGGCATTTTAAAATGCAACTAACATTACATGCGCAGATCTTCCAAAAGGAGACTAACTAACCAAGCTCGTCAAGGGTGAAAAATTCATTCTCAGTACCATCACCCCAGCCCAATAGGGCAAGATAGTTCACCATTGCTTGAGGAAGAAAACCCATCTCCTTGAACTGTCAAAGTACAATTTCAACTATAAGGATGATAGTCCAGGAAAAAGTGCACGGAGAATCAAGTATCAACAGCAAGCAACAGTAAAGGTCATTTTTTTTAAACACCCTGAGCTACTGATTTTTTATTAAGGAACCACATTTAAACTGCATCAGAGAAGGATAAAAAAGGAAAAAGCCAATGTCCCAATGGATTACCTGACCTACTGAAGTTGCCCCATGCCGTTTTGAGAGTTTGCTCTTATCAGGTGCAAGAATCAAAGAAACATGTGCAAATGTAGGCATTGAGAACCCCAGAGCCTAGTTTCGGTGAAGTTTTTCTATCTTTGTTAGGTTTACCATAAATGTATAATACTTGCCAAGCAGAAAAACAACTGAACCAATGAATAAAGCCTCATACATAAATAAAAGAAGAAAAAACAAAACATAAACAGGCTCCAGTTGGTACCTTATATATCAAAGCTTGCCTCAAGGTATTTGGCAAGTGCTCCTCTGCTCTGAAATACAAAAAGATCCAGATAGAAGACAAAAGGGCCAAAGACAATAAGAAAGAATAGTAAGCAGTATTTGCTTCAGCTAGTTGTACTCACCTAATAACATGAGAGATACCCATGGTAGCATCATCAACAGTAACACAAAAATTGTATACTGGCTGCCCATTACTTCTCATAATCACAAAATCTCCAAGTGTTTCATAATTCCAACAGACCTTTATGACACAAGAACATAAATTAGTAACCAATCATAGGTTGGAATCACGAGTATCAGGCAAGTAGTTGATGCAATAAGCTAAGCTGATGTATAACAAAATATCACAGTTTATTCTGGAAATTCCATGCATGTGCTAGAACAAGCAAGCCTCAGTTCACAAACAAAAATTGCATATCCATGAACTTATGGCCTTCGTTTCCCATAAACAATTTATATACCTGGACGACCAAAAGTAAAATCATGAAATAGAACATCAGACTTTTGTATGAATACTTACTTAAAAGTCATATCCTAATTTTAAAACAGTATACAATAGAACCTACCCACCCAAACATCTATCTTACAATTAGACAAATATGCACGACTATTTGCTTAACAATTTAATACACACTAGAATCTAAAACTTATATTTCAGACTTTTGTATGAATACTTACTTAAAAGGAGCACATCAGACATGTTCTCATTTCCAATACTTACAAACAATTTCACTATCATTCACTCATCCAAAATATAATTTTACTTCTTGCACGAGAATAAATACCATTCTCACAAGATCATTGGAAGAGTGATTTTCCCATAACAATATGAGAATTGTAAGCTTTAAACATTAGATTTTTTTAATCTCCGAAAGCAGGCTCATAAGCATTGTTGTTCCCTTTGTTCTTTTTAAATAGCAGTCTCATTAGGATTTATAAAATGTTTATGATTCCCGCTGATTAATAAAAAAAATTCAAAACATTTCATATGTCTGCCATTCGTTTAGACATAGCTTATACACACAGCAAAAAGGAGAGGAAGCAAAAATGAAATAGATACACATTTATGTACAGTGGATAGAGTACCAAATTTATACCTCACCGCGAATGAGATCGTTGACTTTCAAACTTCCTGTCTTAGGAACTCTAAAACGATAAGTATAAGGTGTCCCTTTTGCCAACTCCTCTTGGACTTCTGTCTCTGTGGCAGTAGACCACTTGCCAGCGTATACAGGAGGCAACTGCTTCAGCTTAGCAGTCTCTTTCATTTGTTCAAGCTCCTGAAATAACAGTTGTGGAGTCAGCCCAGCAAATAAATTAAAGACAATCGACTATGATACACAGATGGATAAAAGGTATTGAGGAATAAGGCAAATATAAAAAACAGAAACCAGTGGGCATAGTGTGTGTTCAAGGGTCTCAAGGTATGGGATAGGCCATAAGGCATGAAGCAATAGCAACGAATTTCACCTTTCAGGAAAACAATTAATCACAATAAACTAGATGTAAACTAAATTACCAACAAAAGCATAGTAGCATCACTGCATTTAGCACTTAGTACCATCATAAATTGAAGAATCAAAATGTAGGGTTCATGCGCACGCACATAGACGCATGAAAACAAAAAGAGGAGAAGAAAAAAGTAAAGACAAAAGGCAAAAATGTACTTCTCCAGCCTCCAGTTCTAGATGAAAATTAGTACGTGCTTCAGCAGCTAAACACTTAGGGTGTTTACCACGCAGGCTAACACAAACAAAATTAACTCTTGATTACCTCGTTTGAGCAGAAGCAGCGGTAAACATGACCCATTTGCAAGAGTTTATCAGCATACTGTTTATAGAGAGCATTCCTTTCAGACTGCCGGTAGGGACCATAGTTTCCACCAATACCTGGGCCTTTATAGGACATTCATGAATCATAAACATTTAAAACATCACAGATTAAAAAGGGGTGCAGCTAAATATACCGCAGATGTTACCAATTCTACCAGCATATATATCATGACACCTACTTAACAATATCTTTAATGCAGATTATACCAAATGCACCACAAATATTTCCAATTTCACCCATATTAAAAGGGAAAAAAAATGCTGATCTACATTGCCATCTTGGAGAGCAACCGCTGCTGTTTCCTCAGAGTTACTAATCACATGGTATCTGTTAATAACCTACTTTTCACATCATTTAGAATGCTTAATCTAATTGAGTTATTTCAAAATATTCATCTTTAACGGGCAGAGATAGTTTTCTCCTTTAAACCAAACCAAAGTTACAACCAAAGTTACATGCTTTGAATTACATGCAACAATCAAGAAGCATTTCTAGCTCAGTTTCACCTTATTCCTAAAATTTGTTTTCCACATATATATTGTGATTATTGATTTTGATAAAATAAAACAAATTTTTTTCCACATATATATTATAGGCATTTTTTACGAACAACATATATACAATAATTGCTTGAGGAAAAGGAGAGAGGAAGAACCTTCATCCCAATCAAGTCCAAGCCAGGAAAGATCACGGAGCAAGGCGTCCTCTGATTCCTTAGTGGATCTGTCCAGGTCAGTGTCCTCAATTCGGAGCACAAATTTGCCGCCTTTGGACCTGGCGAACAAGTAATTGTAGAGTGCTGTGCGAGCACCGCCGACGTGGAGGTTCCCGGTGGGAGAAGGCGCGAACCGCACGCGAATCGACTCAGTGGATAATGGCGGCGGCAGAGAGGTCGATGATGCTGA